CCCGCGCGCCCGCCGCTCACCCCGCGCGCCTCACTCGGCAGCTCAGCCGCGCTCCAGACAAAGAGTGCCGCGCGGCGCTGGGGGCTGCCAGGCGGAGCGCGGCCAAGGCTCTGCACAGCCGCGGCGCAGTGCCAGCTAGCGCGCGGGCGGGGGGAGCCACATACTGTAATAATAAACCTGCAGCGGCAGCGGCAAAGGGCATCTGAGGAGAAGGGGAGGGAGACGGGAAGCCGCCGCCGCCGCCGCTCTGCCTCTTGTGTGCCTGTCTGAGGAGAGCCGAGAAAATGGTGCGCGGGGGGAGGCGAGCACAGGGACACAAACGTCTGCAACAGCGGGGCGGCACGCACGCGGCCCAGGGGCGGACACACGACCGAGACAAATCTAGTCACCGACTGGACAGGACCCCCTACCCATACACACGGACGCACAACCCAGACAGATATACCCAGCAGCCTGACAGGCCCCCTTCGTCTGTCCTGTCCCCCCCACCCCCTGCACGCAGCACAGCAAGAAACTTGCACACCAGCCGGACAGTGCCCCCACACACAGACACACACAGCTTAGAGACGCACAACACAGCGAGAAACCCATGCACAAGCCAGCCAGTGACCTACACAGACACAAAGCAGGGAAAGAACCAGAGACACAACCCAACGAGAAACCCACACACAAGCCAGATAGTGACACGTGCACACACGCACACCAAACCCAGAGATACACAACCCAATGAGGAGCCCAAATGCATGCCAGACAATGCCCCCCCACACACACACGCAGCCCAAATGCACGCAACCCAGTGAGGAACCTATACACAAGACACACAAGGACCCACACCCACCCACCCCAAAAAGAACTACACACACGCACACAGAGTCCAAAAAGAACTATACACACACAAGTAGCCCATGGACGAAAAACAAAGCCAGAAACCCACTCACCAGCCAGATGTTGCTGCCCCCCACACACACACACAGCCCAAATACACACAACCTAGTGGAGCCACTCATATGATTAGAGGCCTTAAGAGCACACCATACAAGGAAAGGTTGACAGATACAGGACTGTTCAGCCTAGAAAATAAAAGACTGGGGGGATTTGGTGGCAGCTTACAAATATATCAGGGATGAGCACTGGGGCTAGGAGAACAACTGTTCACCAAAGCACCTCAGGGGGAAACCAGGTACAACAGTCATAAACTCGTAGAAGAAGGTTTCAGACTAGATATAAGGAAAAACTTCTTCCCAGTTTGTGTGACTAGACTCTGAAATAGACTCCCAGCAGGGGTGGTGCAGGCACCTACCCTGGAGATCTTCAAAAGGGGACTGGACACACACCTTGCTGGGGTTATTTGACCCCAGCACTCTTTCTTGCCCAGAGGCCGGAGGGGGGGGAGGGGTTGGGCCCAATGATCTCACAAGGTCCCTTCCAGCCCTAAACTTCTGTGAATCTGAAACCACATACACGCCAGAGGGGCTAGGGACAGACATTCAAATAGCCCAAGCCTGATGAACTGATTCAGTCTTTGAAAGTTAGTCTAACCTGCAGAGACTGAACCAATTTGCAAGCGGATAGACATTCACTTTTGATTCAGGAAATAGAGACACATGCCTGCAGTGCCTCAGGCTAGAAGCCAGGGGGTGCTAGAGCAGCCCTCCCTCCCTTTCCATACTGCTGAGCTAAAGAGGGGTGGGGCCAGGTCCAGGCAGGACACTATGATTAGGGAGGGATTTAAACCCCCACCCTGGCCTGCACAGTCCCCAAATGAGGTGTGGGGGGGTGGGAAGGAAGGAAGCAGCCCTCAACAGGCTTTTTCCCCTGCTCGCTGCTCAAGGGGTGGGAGTGTTGCCAGACCCCAGCACCTGGCCCCCAGGTCCTGGCTAGCATTCTGAGGCAAAGGGTAAGGGGGGAGGACTGCTTGTGTAGACTGCATGCATCTGTTGATGATACTGAGCTTTTCAATCTCCCTCTTCCTGCTTCTTCACACTGTCTGCAGCACCCCAGGTCATTTCTCACACCTCTCTCTATCCCCACACTGACATCAAGCCACCAGCCAGCAGGGAGCTTATCAGAACACAAAGCTTATTAGCCCATCAAGAAAACAAAGCCTCTCATTAGTTCAAGCTCTTTTTACATAGCTTTTTGCAAAGCATTTTTAAGGAAGAAGGGAGGGATATTACTAGCTGACCTGCTGATTAGCTCCAAAAAGCCCTAAGCAGACATTTTGAAACTGGTTTACGTGTACTGAACTTATGTTCTGTTACAGGTTTAAACCAGTTTCTGATCACTTAAACTGGTTTATGTGTAACTTCTGTCCCTAGCCACAGTGTCTCACCAACACACACACAGCCTAGAAAGAACCAGACACAATCAGCCCAGACACACAATCCAGCAAGGAACCTACACCGACCAGAGAGTAACACACACACCCCAGAGAGAAACTTGCACACAAATCAGGCAGCGACCCATATATACACAAAATCCAGAAAGAACTAGACACACACACAATCCAGAGACACACAACTCAGCGAGAAACCCACAGACAAACCAGACAATGATTCACATACAGCTCAGAAAGAACCAGACACACACAGCCCTAGAGAGAGACCTGGATCCAAATATAAGCCAAAGGAAAACCAACACATGTGCAACCCACAGACTCAGAGCCCTGCAGCCCAAAACAATGGAGAGACAGTCCAGTGATACAGATGCAGAGCTACCCATGCAAAGGGGACATCATGACAAGAGACACAGAAGTGCACAGCAGAACACCACACCATGACAGGGAAACAAAACATACTGCAATTGATGAGGGATACTGTAAGAAACAGCAGGAGTAGGGGAAGGCCAGCTCTCCCTTCTCTGCTAACAGCAGAGGGGAGTTCCTTCTCCATCCCTGGCTTGGGTAAGCAGCATTCCTCACAGGTTCTTCTGTTCAGACAGTGCAGATGGGCGTTCCCCCTCCTATTTCAAGCTCCTTAAACCACTGGAGAAAGTAACACAGACCAGAAGCACAGGTGGACCAGAAACGAGTTCAGACACAACAGAGCAACTTCAGAGCTGTAGAATAATGCTTATATACAGGAAAAAATAGACCACAGTAGCACACAGACACAACATTGCAAACAAGTGGAAACAGTGACAGAAAAGCAGAGCACAGGGCCAAAGATACAACATATATATGCACAGAAGCACAGCATACTGACAAGACACAACACAACACACTCCTTGTTCAGTGCTTGTACAGTGCCTAACATGGTGGGGTCCAGCTATGACAGAGAACGGCATACAACACAGGGGTGCAAAACACAACAAAAAGTCATACAGTCGCCACAAGATACAAGGAGAACAGAGATATGTAAGTACAGCATACATACAGATACAGGGATATAGTATACAGTGACACTAAGAACAGTGATGTGCAAAGTCATACTACAAAAGAATAAAGTCTGATTCTCTGTTGCTCTCCAGTATGCATCATCATTTACACCAATGCACAGATGGTGTTTAAAATGTAAGCAAATCATATGATAGCATTTTGCCCTCACATTGACTGGTGTAAATGAATATACAGTTCAGGACAACATAATCTGTCTAGAATTTAGACCTCAGATAGTTACTATAATTGCACAAAGTAAAGTAAAATTGTTCTTCAAATCCAGCTTAAGTACAAAGAGACAGTACAAAAACATTAAATACATACACAGTGCAATACAAGATAGTGGAAAGTGGCACATGGAAACAGACACAGCAATGCAAATGAGTGGAAACACCATGATACACAAATACAGAGAATGAGGGCACAAATATACCATGACTTGGAAAGGAACTTAAGGGTCTAGTCTAAACCTCTACACAGATGTAGGATTTACTATTATTAAACCATCCCATACAAATACTTATCTAGCTTTGTCTTGAAAGCCTCTAATAAAAGAGATTCTACAATTCCTGTAGGCATTTTGTTCCATCATCATCGGCAGGCACTTAAGGGTGAGGATGAATGCTTTCATGATTGTCTTATACCTGCAGGTCCGAAGATGGCTGACAAGGCCTACCTGGGATCAACAGTCTCTGTTGCAGCTCAGGCACTTGTTTCTGTGCGGGGTGGATGGCCCTGGGTTCTTGGTTTGGTCAGTGACACACTGTTTCTGCCTCTCCTGTTTTTCCACTTCCTGTTGTTATCATAAAGTTTCAAAGTGCTAAGGTCCTTGCAGTAGACTCTTCCTCCATTTGGGACAATCCTGGATAATAGTCTCTAACAAGTTGATATCTATGTTGCATTTTTTCAAGCTGGCTTTGAGGATGTCCTTGAAGCACTTCCTCTGCCCTCCTCTTGAGTGTATGCCTTGACTGAGCTGGGAAAATGAACTTGCTTTGGGATTCTGGAGTTGGACATTCGAATGATGTAGCCAGCCCAGCGAAACTGATGTTGGATGATCATCACCTTAGTGCTTGTGGTGTTTGCTTGTGAGAGGTTACTAAAGTTGGTGTGTCTGTCTATCAACTGGATTTGAAAGATGGCAGCGTTTGATGGTACTTCTCCAGCAACTTGAGGCATCTCCATTACATCGTCCACATTTCAGCTCCATACAGTAAAGTGATGATCATGACTGCTTGATAAATCATGAGCTTGGTTTCAGATCTGATGTCTCAATCTTCAAACACTTGTTTCCTCAGGCGTCCGAAGGCTGCACTTCCACATTTGAGGGAATGCTGGATTTCTTTCTTGATGTCAGGTTTCTGTAAGGAACGGCTTCTGAGCTATGGGAAATACTCAATGTCCTCCAGAGTCTCACTGTGAATCTGAATGACTGAAGCTGGGGTCTGCTCATTTGTTCCACTGCCCTACTGTTCTTACAGTTAGGAAGCTTGTCTAAATCTGTTTTGCTGTGGTTTAAACTCAGTGTTTTGTGCTGCCTGCTGTGGTTAAGGGAAAATCATGCTTTTCTATCTTCATTGTAGAAGCCTTTCAGATATGTCCAAATTGCCCCATAAATCTTTTCTCCATATGAAACTTGTCTAGTTCCTTCAATCTTTCCTCAGTGAACTTGCTTTTTAACTCCTTTATTTGTGTTGTTTGCCTCTGGTCATCTCGCATTCCTACATCCTTCTTAAATGCAGTGCCCAAAACTGCACACAATATTCCAGCTGAGGCCTAGCCAATACCAAGCAGAGAGGTATTACCTCCTATATCTTGTATCCAGATAGATGCAGCATAGTGGCCAGACACACAGCGACAATGCCAACACATACACTTTATGTCTTATGTCTACAGTGCCTGGCACAATGCAAACTGCATTTAAGTTTACACTGCTGTTGGTGGCTGAGAGAAACAAGGTCTTGCTCTCAACTTCTTAGCATTTTCCTGTTTGCCTATTTTTCACCAATTCCAACATTTCAGGGAATCATCAATGGGCAAAACTGTAACAATTTTGATGAAGGGTGGAAAACACAGGACACACAGTGCCGCTAGTGTTTGATTAGCAAACCCAGGTGCTTCTGCTATTTCTGCAATTGTCTATTGATCAAAAATGTGTTGATGGCTCCTTCCATCATAACATAGCCTCCATTTCAGTTGTCCTTCTTTCCAGTTGATTTCAGTGTTGATACCCTGAAGTTATCTGCCTGATTAAAAGAAAATAAAGAAGAATGGTGCAGCTAAAAGGTCAAAGCAGAATGGAGGCATACACAGGTTTGGCATGAAGTGTAAGTTGGACAGCAGGGAAGGCATAGGAACAACCAAGGAGGGAGAATGAGGCAGAATGAGGTCTCCAGTATGATGGGAAAGGGACAGGTAAAAGCAGGGGACAAGCTCCTGGTACAGGAAGAAGAGAAAATGGGGTAAAATGGCAGGAGAAGAATAGCAAACCTGGGACATGCAAAGGAGGAGACATGGCAAAAAGAAGGTCTGGGAGCACACAGAGAATGAAGAAACATGGTATAAGAAGGGGTATAATGGGGACAACACAGAGCCTCTGGCATGAAGGTGGGTGTGGGTTTGCAAATGTAATAACTCCCTGAAATAGAAAGGGGTGGCCCATGGGAGCTGGTGGAATGGAAAATGTCTGCAATGTGCTCTGCTTAAAGAAGCAACAAAATGTGTAACTCTAGATCAGGTATCTGCAGCCAGCAAGTCCCTTTGGTGCAGCCCATAACCCAGGACTACCCCTTTGAAATGGTTCTTCAGACTTTGACAGCCCCTGCTCTCGATAAAGCAATTGAAAACACTTTGAGTTACAGCTTTACAACAAGGCCTTATATGGCCCTCCTTACTACAGCATTTAGACACATGGACACATCCTTAAAGATGAAATGGAACAACGCAGAAAAATGCAACACATATGTACAAAGACAAACATACACATTATAATGACAGATTCACTCTTTGATTTTCAGATTCTTCTGCCTCTTGTATTATTTTCAATCTTTATTTTTACTCATTATATAAGTAATTACTTGAAAAGGAAAGGTTTTTTCTTTTTTTTTCCAGTTGCCAAAAATGAATGTATTGCTCTATTTAAAATTTTCAGCAGATTTTAATGGCAGTAAAGGGAACTGTGCTTGAGATGTGTGTGTGTGTACTCACACACACACACACATATTAGAATGAACTAATTATATTACCATAAACAGTGTTTTATGTTCTTATGGCAACTGAAATGAAGTTAGAAGGGAAGACTATTCACTAATTAAGTTATTTTGAGAAGACAAAAAGTCTGCCTAAAGACAATTAGTCTCCATTTTAAATTTCATCTTCCAGTTTTTTCTTGTTGTTTTTTTTTACTTCTAAATCTACAGATTTATTCAGTGATGTATTTATTTACCACTAAATAAAATGGTCTGTGCATATGGCCTGTCAGTCTTCCTATTAAGAAGGGTTGTATGTAAATACATAAAATTTAATCTGCTCCAGCCAGGTAATAGTTTAAAAAGGCAACAAACTACCCACAAAGTCAACAAATGAGTTCTTCAGAATCAAGTGAACTAGGGAATATAAACTAATCATTGGTCAACCTATTTTGTATCCTGCTCTAATAATGGCCTATACTTGATACATCAAAGAAAGATGTTAAACCTATGCATCTGACTGTACAACACTGTAAAAGAGACATTTTTGCTGACCAGCTGGAAATTAGCTTACTGGATAGGCAGAAGAGAGTGGCTCAATAGCACTTGTAATATTATGCCGCCTAGTCTAAAGGCAGTTGCTATTCTTATTCTGACTTGAATACAGAGATTAAAATGGTATTATGCAGAGTCTGAATGCATTATGAGATATACATTCTGAGGGAAACTATGTTTGCAAAATAAAGTCCCAGCCTGCTCACATAATTCAACGTAAAAACTCTTGTTGACATTAGTAGCGTAGAAATGGCATGGAAAGTTAAATGTTGTGCTTTAAAAATTGACCTTGAGTAACCTAAAAGCCACTGTGAAATTTGAACTTTCAAGCACAGGATCCAAAATATTGCATGAGGTTATCTAAATCGTAACTGCATTAGATTAAGGGAGGAGGAGTACAAGTTGGACTAAAGGCTGAACCAGAGACTTTGTTACAGTAAAGGCCGGGTTCTGCACCAGAAGAAGCAAGTGCAATTCCACTGGCTTCAGAAGAGTGGTTCCTGCTAATGTTAGTAGTTTATCTGGCTGTACAAGAGCATGGCCTGCCCGGCACAGCATGGACCCACAAATAAATTAATGCTAGATGAATAAGGGTTGAGATTTGCAGCATATGATCTGCTCTTCAGTAACTGCCCATATGCGTGCACTTACCCTATAATGGAAGGAAGTTAATCTGTAGCAATTTATCCCCCTCTCACTGAATTACCTTTCATTTACTGCAAGGTAAGAGCATGCACATGGGCAATTATTATGGTGTGATATGGTGTGACTTTTGTGGGACAGCTGGAAATTAGCTTACCGTATAGGCAAAAGAATGGGGCTTGATAGCACTTGTAGTATTATGCCAACTAGTGCCATCAGACTAGCATTTTTAGGATGTTTTTAAAAAAAATACTTTGAAAACAAGCTTCTAGAGAGAAAGGGAGAGTCTTAAGGCTTGATACTACAAACACAGATGCATCTTAGCCTTAACCTCTAGCTTTCATCAGACTGTCTACATGCTTAAAGTTAACTACGTGCTTAGAGAGAAGTAATTATTTGTGCTAGTCTGCACCTTTACCCTGCCTTCTATATGCTTAGAAGTGAAATGTTGGTTTCATTGAGAATGCTGTCATTGATTTTAATGAACCAGGATTTCACAGCACGTGCAGGATCAAGGCCTTATTTTGGTATGTGGGACAAGCTATGAAATGTGACGTATGTCAAAAACTGATGTTGTCATCACTATACTAGGGTGCTACACACAGTAAAATGCAGTTTCAGCACCTGCCAGTCATCTCCAGTGTTAGGGTATCAGCAAGAATATTTTTTAACTAAGCCAGAATCTCTTCCTTCTCCTCAAATCACACATTTAAAGTTTTGGTATATTTTGAGCTAGCTGAAGTCTTACTTGTTTAGACCCAATTTGTAGAAAAGCAAAGTCAAAGGTATTGTGACAGAATGCAGAGTATGTGGCAATGACCCTGACTCATTTACTAATCTTGTTTTGGTGGTGGTTATTATTATTAAAGAATAATTAGTATTAATGGATATTAACAGTGTGCCTGCACCTTCTAACCAAAATCTGAGGGACATCTTTTTTAAAAATTGCTCAGTTTGGATATGCATGAGAATATATAAAATGATAACTGTTAATCACAGTGTAAATAAAAACAATGGTGTGCTATACACGGGCACCATAGGTCCTTTACATGTGCAGGGAACCTGCTCCAACACACTGGAAATCCAGCATGTTGGAGTGTGGAAATTAATGCACTCCAGCAGATTCTAGCATCACATGTATCAGCATCCCCATGCTAAAAAATGGCTCGTTCAATGAGCTTCAGTTCAAAGCACCCTGCCAACATTTTTTCAGCCAGGGACACTGATGCACATGATGATCAGGTGCTTTTAATTAGCACAGCTTGCTAATTAAAGTGCCTCCCCCCCAGCATGAATAAAAATGCCCCATAAGTACTTGTTTATAGTGGGAAATCAAAAACCATGAGACTGTTTTATCTTATACTTGCCACCCTTCTACATCATGATTTCTCTCTCCCATTTCAAAATACACTTGGCATCAATCATATTTTTTTTCTTAGAAGTCCAAAGAAAATAATATAACATGTCTTTTAAAGTTATTTTAGAAAAATACATAGCTTAAGAATTCAACATTTTTCTTCTTAGCAGGTAGTCAGACAAAACAGGAAATCTAAGAATTGTCATAATGGATGAAACTAATGGCCCTCTAGTCCAGTATCTTTTACTAACAGTAGCTAGGACAAGAGGAATATGCATGGGATATTCATAGTATTCGGACGATAATGCAAACTTCCTCATAACCCCCAGTAGTCAGAGGTTGATAGGCATGCCAGTTTATTACTAGTATTACCCTGGACTTTCTTGTTATATATATATTAAAATCCTTTTTTGAACTCTGCATATTATAGTTTCATAGTTGGT